ATCCACTTATAAGTAAATTTCATGACATTATCGGAGAGCCCGGCAAGCTACCCAGAGTATTCGATATGCCAAACACAGTAACAACAAAGTCTCCAGTGGAGATGTTACTGGGCCCGCTCGAGCAAATCGACGATCAACGGGAGGGCCTTTACCTTTACCTATCTTTGCTAATAGCTGCACATATATTGTGTACCAAAGTTTCTTTAACCAGTCATCTTTACTCGGGCACTTGGGTTGGTTCCAGATTCTGGCTATTATAAACAGTGCTGCAATAAACATACAAGTGCGATGTCATTTCTATTGTATTTTTTTTTTGCATCTCCAGAATATATTCCCAGAAGTGGTATTGCTGGGTCATATGGGAGCTCAATTTGTAGTTTATGGAGGAATGTCCACATTGTTTTCCAAAAGGCTAGACAAGTCAGTATTCCCGCCAACAATGAAAGAGAGTGCCTTTCTCCCTGCATCCACGCCAGCACTAGTTGTTCATGTTCTTTATGGTGTGTGCCAGTCTCTGTGGTATGAGATGATATCTTATTGTTGTTTTGATTTGCATCTTCCTGATGATCAGTGATGTAGAATATTTTTTATGTGCCTTTTGGCCATTTGAATTTTTTTGAGAAATTTTCTATTCATTTCTTCTCCCCATTTTTTGATGGGGTTGGAAGTATTTTTCTTGTAAAGTTCTACCAAGTATATAATATATCCTGAATATTAAGCCCCTATCTGATGGGTATTGGGTAAATATTTTTTCCATTCCATGGACTCTCTCTGTATTTTGGTCACTGTTTCTTAGAGAAGCTTCTTAGTTTAATGTAATCCCATTTGTTTATGTTTATTTCCATTTTCTTAGTGTTTTATCCTTGAAGATGTCTTCAACTTTAATGTCATGGAGGGTTCTGCATACATTTTCCTCCACATACCATATCGATTCAGAACTGATGTTGAGGTATTTAACCCATTTTGATTTGACTTCTGTGCCTGGCATTAGGCAGATGTCTAAGGTAATTTTTTTTTGCATGTAGCTGTCCAGTTTTCCCAGAACCACTTGTTGAAGAGGCTTTCTTTTCTCCATTTCACATTTCCTGCTTCTTTATCAAAGATTAAGTGATCATATACTTGAGAGTCTGTGTCAGAATATTCAACTCTGTTTCATTGGTCTGCAGGTCTGTTTCTATTCCAATACCATGCTGTTTAATCACTACTGTTTTATAGTACAGTTTGAAGTTGGAGAAGGTGATGCCACCCATCTGCTTTTTCCCAAGAATTGTGCCATATGAATTTCATAGCTGTTTTGTCTATTTCTTTGAAAAATTTCATGGGTATCCTTATAGGGATCACATGGAATCTGTTTAATGCTTTGAGGAGTATTGACATTTTGACAATGTTAATGCTCCCAATCCATGAGCAGGAGATGTGTCTCCATTTCCTAGTGTCCTCTTTTATTTCTTGAAGTAGTGTTTTGTAGTTTTCTTTGTTGAGGTCCTTCACCTGTTTAGTTAAGCTGATTCCAAGGTTCTTGATTTTCTAAGGCCCTATTGTGAATTGGATTGTTTTTTAAAAATCTCTCTTTCTTCTCTTTATTTTATATAGTAAAGCCATGAACTTTGGGGTATTGATTTTGTAACCTGCCACTTTACTATGCAAACCTATTGTTTCTAGGAGCTTCTTGGTAGAGGTTTTAGGGTTCTCTAGGTATAATATTATATCATCTGCAAATAATGAGAACTTGATTTCTTCCTTTCCTATCTGGATGCCCTTGGTATCTTTTTCTTACCTAACTGCTATGGCAAGTACTTCCAGTACTATATTGAATAGAAGTGTTGAGAGTGAGCAACCTTGTCTTGTTTCTGATCTTAGAGGGAAGGCTTTTAGTTTTTCCCAGTTGAGAATAATGCTTGCTGTGTGCTTGTGGTAAATGGCTTTGACTATATTGAGGAAAGTTCCTTCGACTCCCATTTTGCTGAGAGTTTTTATCTAGTGGGTGCTAGATCTTGTCCAATGCTTTCTCTGCATCTATGGATATGATCATAAGGATTTTTATCTTTCATTTTATTGATATCGTGTATTATGTTGATTGATTTGTGAGTATTGACCCATCCTTGCATCCCTAGTATGAATCCTACTTGGTCATGGTGTATCATCTTTCTGATAAGTCGTTGGATTCTATTTGCTAGTATTTTGTTGAGGATCTTTGCATCCGAATTCATCAGGGACACTGGCCTGTAATTCTCTTTTTTTGTGGTGTCTCTGTCTGCTTTTGGTATGAGGCTCATATTTGCCTCATAGAAACTGTTTGGAAATGTTTCTGTTTCTTCAGTTTCTTGGAAAAGGCTTATTATCTTTCGATGTGAATGTTATCTAGTTTATCCTCTGGAAAACAGTATGGAGATTCCTAAAAATTAAGACAGAGCTTCCACATGATTCAGATATCCTACTTCTTGGCATCTACCCACCAAACACAAAATGATTCATTTAGAAAGATATATGCACATATTCATTGAAGTACTTAGCATAATAGACAAGATATGAAAACAATCCAATGACAAATAAACGGATAAATATGTGGCAACATCCATATACAAAGGAATACTATAAAGCTGTAAGAAAAGATGAAATCATGTCGTTGTCTGCAATGTAGATAGAAGAGGAGGGCATTGTGTTAAGCAGAATGAGACAGAGAGAGAAATATAAATACTGAATGATCTCATTCACCTATGGGACGGAGAGACAAAACAAGGGAATAGTCAGTACTGAATGATGACAAGCTCTTGACCTTGAGTTACAAAAAAGTGGGAAGATGGTGGGGGGGGGGGCGAATAAAGACCAGGTTAGAGGTGACATAGGGACAGTAGTGGAGATCATGGGTCCTTGGTGGTGGTGGTGAGTGTAGTAAATTGTAAAATACCACCAGAGCCTAGAACACTATTGTGACCATGTTGCCTAAACTATAGCTAGAAATTAAATTATAAAAAAGGAACCTGTTGGGCTAGAGAGATAGCACAGCGGGTTGGGCATTTGCCTTGCACGCGGCCAACCCGGGTTCGATTCTCAGCATCCCATATGGTCCCCTGTGCATCGCCAGGTGTGACCCAGAAAGCAAAAAAAAAAAAAAAAAAAATTTAAAAAATCATCATTTAAGTAAAGTAAAAAAAAGCAACCTATTGAATAGAATTTCAAAATGTTAATGTGATCAAGATTGTATTTTTTCTTATTGCTAATATTTCTGGTGTCTTGCTTAAGAAGAATTTACCCCCTCGAGGTTCTGAAGATAAAGTCTCTATATTCCCCTTCTACACACTGCCTGGCTTTGCTCTCACATTCCTATCCCAGCCTCCTATCTCAGCTGCTGACTAAGCACTTCACTGTCCCTGCCTTGCCCCAGACTCCAGCCTCACCTGCTCACCACTGCTGTCTACCCTGTGAGAGGTGGGGAATGTACTCAACACATTAGATAAAGGACTCACAAAGCTCAAGAGCAAAATCTAGTAATCCCATATCGAATACGTCACGGGTAGCTTGCCAGGCTTTGCCGTGCGGGCGAGATACTCTCAGTAGCTTGCTGGGCTCTCCGAGAGGGGCAGGCTTAGGTACTGAGGAGAATACCCCAGAGGGGAAGTGTCCAGTTTCTCCATCACATGTGGTGTTGCTTGAGGGTTCAGAGACGACCGGGTGTCAGGGTTCAAATTCAGGTCTTGACTTCTGCATACAAGTTTGTGCCTTAGTCCTTTGAACTACCTTCTGGTCCAGAAGTGCCTCTGGCCACTTCCCATCAGAAGTATTGCGGTGTCTTCCCTGAATATTGGTCAGGTGTCAGCACTAAATTGTCATTAGAAAATATAAAATCATGGAAGATAGATAGCACAGATAGCACAGTAGATAGGGGCTTGTCTTACATATGACCTACCTGGGTTTGATCCCCAGCATCCCATAGAGTCCCCTGAGCCCACCAGGAGTATATTCCTACATGCAGAGCCAGGAGTAACCCCTGGGCATTGCCAGGTGTGGCCCCCAAATCAAAAACAAAGCAGGAAATCATTGGGAAGGACTAGCTCAATCAGAAGCTATTTTACTAGGGCTGTTTTTTAAATTTTTTTATTTTATTAAAAAATTAATTTTTATTGAATCACTGTGAGATACAGTTACAAAGTTGGGGTCATTCAGCCAGCAATGATCCTTCACCATGTACATTCCCAACCACCAATGTTCCCAGTTTCCCTCCTGCCACCACCACCACCTCACCAGCCTGCCTCTGCCTCGATAGCAGATGGCCATCACTTTTTCGTCTCTCTCCCTCTCTCTGTCTCTGTCTCTCATATTCTCTCTCTCTCTTTCTCTCTCTCTCTCTCTCTCTCTTTCTCTCTCACTGCCACATGTCACTCAGAGGCTGCAGCTTGTGAGTCTGCTTAGTCCAGGTGCGAGGCAGGGAGAGCACAGCTGCTTGGAGGAAGCTCCAGAACTGACAATGGTGAGGAGTGCACAAACATGTCAGCCATGATCACCGTTTCCAAAGCTGGGTAATCCCACACCCACCAAGGCACCCCACAAAGGCATGCTGCCACCAGGGGAAGCTGGGAATCACCACTACAACAGCAGGTTGGGCTGTCATGTGAGTCAGGCCCTGTGTACAGGGACTAGAGCTACTCAGCTGTGCAGGAGGGTCAAGGGGGGCCAGGGAGTGGGAGATCAGGGCTGAGGAGAGGGAAACTCCAGGTTCAAGGGACACAGCTATCTGGCCAGGACAACCACAAGAGCCTTGACTTCTGTGAACGTGTGAGTAGTGTAGGAAAGGGGGTTCAGGAAGGCATTTCCCAAACACGCCAGCCAAGTGAACCACAGGGCTCTGTGGAACCCACTTTGAGAAATTCTGATCCACATGGGTGGCCTCAACCATAAGACAAATGGTCTGCTTTTACTCACTCACTGAGGTCGCTCTCTGCCATGCCCTACATCAGGGTCAGGAAAATGCTGACTCTCTCAGAAAGACCACAAGAAAATACTTTCTCCATGCAATGCAGAACTTTTATTAAGAATAAGCATCAGCTAAACGAAGGCTCTAGTGGAAGAGGTTAGGAGACCTCCAGCTCCCCCATTCATGCCCATGAACCAAGAGGAAGCTCAGAATTTACATGCTGAGTACCACTGTGGCTACCCAACATCTCAGTATTGATTAAGTGCTTCTACTTGCATCCCTGAAGGGCCAGGAGTTACAGGAGCTTCAGAGAAACTTCTGAGGCTGCAGCTCGCTCTTCAATTTGGCTAGTCCCATGAGGCACTGGTCCCGCCACCTTCTCCGGGCAGCTAAATGCTCGGGGTCATCAGGAACACTCTTGCACATGGCCTGGGAAAAGGAAGACAAAGGAAAGAAGTAAATGTAGAAAATCACCTGCTAGAAGTGCAATTATGATTCTCACTTACATAAGCTGCAAATTTCCTTCCCAGGACAAAGCAGCCAGGTAAACCTTCAGTTAATATAGGCTTCTAAAATGCACAGACCGCCTGAGCTCTTGGACAATTAAGCCAAAAAAAGCTATTAGCCTGGCAGTCTTGATGCTCCTGGGTCTCCAGAGGATAACAACAGAAGCACACAAAGCAAAGGTACAGATGAGACATCATACCAATGGGAGATAAAGGCTCTAATGCCAATGCCACTGAGCCTGTGTCTTGGGCAACACACAGGTCTTGAAAATGTGTCGATGTACCTGGTGAACTTTCTTAACAGTGGCCTCTGAAAACTCTGGGATGGGTCCAAAGGTCTTCAAGACACGCTTCATGCCTTCGCTGTATCTGTCACAGTAGCTTATCATACCTGAAATCACATTGCAAACCAGAGTCCACACATCACAAGAACATTACACAACTTCAAACTATGAAGTACGTAGCGGGTCTTCATCCTGGATCAAAATAGTTTGAAGGTGGGGATGTCCCAGCAGTACTTAGGGACAATTCTTGGCTCTTTTTTTTTTAGGGAGGTAACTTCTGTATTTTTCTTAAATTTTATTTTTATTGAATCACAGTAAGATAAACAGTTACAAAGTCATTCATAATTGGGTTATTCATAAACAGTTATATAATGTTCCAATACCCATCCCCTCTGGATGGGCTGGAGCGATAGCACAGCGGGTAGGGCGTTCGCCTTACAAGCGGCCAACATGGCCGACCCGAGTTCGATTCCTCTGCCCCTCTCGGAGAGCCCGGCAAGCTACCGAGAGTATTCGATATGCCAGACACAGTAACAACAAAGTCTCCAATGGAGACGTTACTGGGCCCGCTCGAGCAAATCGACGATCAATGGGAGGGCCTTTACCTTTACCTTACCTTTACCCATCCCCTCACCAGTGTACATTACCCACCACCAAAGTCCCCAAGTTTCCATCCTACCCCTTCATCTACCTCTGTGACAGGCATCTCTCTCTCTTTCTCTCTTTCTCTCTCTCTTCTCTCTCCCTCCTCTTGGGCATTATGGTTTGCAATATAATACTGAGTGGAAAGGTGGTTATCATGTATATCCCTTTACCTACTTTCAACACTCAGTGATTGTCCAGAGTGATCATTTCTAACTATTTTTGTCATATTGGTCCTTTCTCTATCCTAACTGCCCTTTGCCCACCCCCTCCCACCCCTCCAAACACACACTTGTGGCACACTTACAACCAGTGACCAATCCTCCTGGACTCTGTTTTTCCCTTTCCTTGGATATTAGTTTCATACTAGTTTTTTTTATCCCACAAATGAATGCAGTCATTCTATGTCTGCCCCTCTCCTTCTGACTCATTTCAATCAGCATGATACTCTTCATGTCTATCCATTTATAGGCAAATTTCATTACTTCATTTTCCCTAACAGCTACATAGTATTTCATTGAGTAGATACAGCATAGTCTCTTTATCCAGTCATCTGGGCACTCAGGTTGTTTCCAGTTTCTGGCTATTGTGAATAGTGCTGCAATGAACATAGAAGTGCAGATGGTGTTTCTGCTGTGTGTTTTGGGCCCCCAGGGTATATTCCCAGAAGTGGTATTACTGGGACAAATGGGAGCTCAATTCTATTCTTATAAGGAATGATCATATTGTTTTGCAAAAAGGTTGGACCAGTCAACATTCCCACCAATAACGAAGGAGAGTCCCTTTCTCCCCACATCCATGCCAGCACTGGTTCTTCTTGTTCTTTTTGATGTATGTCAGTCTCCTGGTATAAGATATCTCACTGTTTTTATTTGCATCTCTCTCATGATTAGCAAGGTAGAGCATTTTTTACATGTGTCTATTAGCCATTTGTATTTATTCTTTGAGGAAGTTTGTGTTCATTTCTTCTCCCCATTTTTGATGGGGCTGGATGCTTTTGTCTTGTAAAGTTATACCAGTGCCCTATGTATCTTTTATATTAACGCCTTGTCAGATGCTATTGGGTAAATAATTTTTCATAGGGATCACTCTTGGCTGGGCATCAAATGCGAGTCAGCAGCGTGCATGGCAAATACCTATGCCCCTGGAATCACATTAACTCAACTTCCCTTCCTACAGATGAAGGAGGTAGAGGCAGGAGAGCTCCCTGAGGCATGGGTACTAGATTCTTCACAGATCACCTGCTTTGCTTCCTCCCAGATCCTAAAATCCTAAGACATGAGGCAACCACAGACTTGCCACTGGACCAGCATCTGTGCATCTGACTGAACGTCAAAATTTCCTATATCGGTCGGCTGGATTTCATATGGAATCCTGCTTGGATGTTTCACCAGACACATCTCCAACAATACATCAGAAGGGCTGCTGTGCACAGGGTCTGGCACTCCTTCTGGGAATCAGAGAAGGCCATGTCCAACCAGATCATTCTCACTGCCCTCAGAATCCCTCGTGGTCTACTGAGAACCCTTCCTGGGGGCAGGCTCTGTAGTAGAGATAGTACTGATCCTGGAAGCAAGTCTGGAGTTTCCAGCAGCTTCCATTCTGGGTAGTGAAACAGTCCAGCCCAGCCCCATCCTTAGCCCTGGGTTTTCCAGCACCCAATTTCTTGGATCCCAATATAGGGCCTTAGTATTGAGGGAGACTTATCCGGAAGGGAAAGGAGAGGGAGACCATGACTTAAAAGCATTTGAAGGGCGTTTTATGGTTGAAGTGAAGACATCCTGTCAGAATCACAGGTACAGATGGAAAACACCCTGGTGGCCTCTAGCCTCTGCACACACGTGAATCCCTACCCTACCCCACACTCTGCGGCTCCCCAGTATGTGGGACATTTGCCTGAGACATGTCATGTGGAAAGCCACGTGGGTCAGGGAAGAGGCAGTTCCCAAATCTGGGCTCCACGGAGGACACAGGCTGAGCTTCCCTAAGCTGCCTCTGGCCCATTCCCAACATGCTCCAGAGTGTTGATGTGTCAGGTCAGAACAGGGAACTGTGGAAACTACATAAGATACAGACACCAGTGTCTGCTTCCAGCTGTACCAAAACACTGACTGGCCCCTGCTGACTCAAAGTCTGAGCCCACAAGAATTCTGCTGTGCCTGCACAGGATAGCGTTCCTCCTCCTGTTGTGCTAAAAGTCTATCAGTTGGGCCTGGGAAATAGCTCAGAAAGCTAGGACCCAGCTTTGAGTTGGAACCCCGAGTTCTATCCCCTACCTGGGTGGGGGTGAAGGAGATCTGGTAGTCCCCCACTCTCCACACTCAACCAAACAACCCCTCACCTGCAGATGTATGGAGTCTTTGGCCCACACAGCTGGGGTTAGGATGCTTTCAATGGTGCCTTGTAGGTCCCTGAACACTGTCTGGGAGGCCCTCTTTCCCAAGGGTAAGTTGTTTGGAGGTGAAAGATTCAAATATGTGGTGAATTCTTCTGGGGTCAGAGAGAGCACAGTGGGTAGGGTCTTTCCTTGGCCATGGATTAAGACACTTGCTTTACAAGTAGTGGACCCAGATTTGATCCCTGGCACCCCATATCATCCCCTGAGCATGATAGTACTGATTCCTGAATGTAGAGCCAGGATCCCTGAGCACACTCAGGTGTGGCCCCAAACCAAAAAATATACATAAATAAAAGTGGTGAACACTCTCTTCTTTAAAAAAGTAATAAATTCACTTAAGTATAGCTTGATGATTTGCCCTTCTAGAAGGTTCCCACCAAGTCCCAACTCTGGACAGGTCTCCCAGATGGCTGAGAACAGACAGCAACTGGGACATTTATTTCCTTTTGGAAATTAAGCAGTTACTTCAAACTAAACAGTGACCACTTCTAAACACAGGTGCATTATTTTCCTATTTAGGGTACAGAGACACAAGGGTAGTATAAATTGGAAATAAAACAAATGGCAAAATAATGTGGTTTTTTTTTTCAGAGCACCTGTCCCACTGCCCACTCTAAACCACATAGCTTTAAGAGGTCATTTATTTTCTTCCAAATATAATACAATATCTCGAAATTCTTCATAGTTTGTAATTTCTTCCTAAATGAGCACTCAATTCAGTCTCACTAATGTGAGAACATTTTCTCAAATGTGAGCTCAAGTATCAGAGCTGAGCAGCCCTGCTTGAGGGCACCAGGGACCCTCCACTCCTGCCTGGGCCACCGATAACCCTCTGTTCCAACTGCAGAGACAGGGGCTTCTTTTTCATTTTGCTGAGAAAGTCAGTCTAGAGGCCCCTCCCAGGCTAGAGATGCTGACACAGGTTCAGATCAGCAGCGTGCGTTATCTACAATGTCCCAGTAAAGACATTTCTGCTACTGGCATTTATGACACTCTACCACAGAAGTGGCAAAGGATGAAGTGCTTTATTTTCAAATAACAGTTTGAGATTTTCTACACCAGGAAAAGAGAACCTAGTATAAATCCAATTTCATGGAAAATGGAGAGGAGGAGAATGATATTTGGGAGCCACACCCAGCAGTACTTGGGGCTTATTCTTTGCTCTGTGCTCAGAAATCACTCCAAGTGGAGTCCCTGGATCCATATGAGGTGCTGGGGATTGCAACTGAGCCAACTGTGTGCAAGGCAAAACACTACCTGGTGTATTATTGCTCCAATCCCCCTGAATGAATGCTTTTTCAATATCTTTTCTGTCATATTAAACAATGTACTTAAAAAATTAAAATAACTAAAAACATTTGTCCAATATTTAACTTTCATAGCTTTTCAGAAGACTGAGTCTATTTAAAGTAATGCTTATACTAGTAAGGGAAAATCGGGAGAATTGTTTTTCAAGAGATTACACTGAATTAATTTTCCTACTTTCTGACTTGGAATTCTTCAGTTATGAATCCTGAAGGTGAGAGAGTGTGTTTTCTAGAACTTTCAGCACAACCCATGATAGATGCAGGCACTGGGCACGTGACTGAAAGTCGCTCATGGCTGGGTGAGCCCTGACTGCCACCCACCCCAACAGAGTCTGGCTTTCAGAGAACACAAGAGCTTCAGGGCTTCACAGAAATTGGTGAGGATGATCAGAATGCCAGAGCACACAGCACCACTATGTACTTCCCTCTTCCCTAGGTCCCTCTTCCCTAGGGAGGAGAGAGGGAAGGCGGTGGACGCAGGTAGAGAGACCCACCTGAAGCCCCTTAACCTGAGAAAAATCCAGCCTCAATTTAGTTGCTTCCTTCCACACTTAACACCACTGAAATGGCACAAAACCATCAGGGAGGCTTACAGGTAAAGCCTTCACATAAGCACCTACGAAAAGCAGGAAGCTCTGTGCGGCAACTTGCTAAGCATTCATTTCCACCGAGGTGATTTCCAGAAGCTGCCAGATTCTGAATGGCATGTTTCCCAAGCCCAATGAGGTGTCAAAAAGCTGTGGGGTTGGGTAAAAAATTCTCTTTGCTAAACTATAGATCTAAAAGTTTTGCCCAAAACCAACCCACCAAACAGTTCCACTCCAAATACTTCACACAGCAAAAAGATTTAAAAAGAAAAAAGAAAAAGAAAAAAGTCCCAGTATATTCATTCTCTTCATGCCCCTGTAAATCTTTGAGGGGGAGCATTTTTAAAAAATGAAACCAAAACCTGGAGAAACATAGAATTAGATAAACAAGAGAAAATTCTGCATGGATGTAGAATTTATGAAGAACATAATTGCATCTGCCCAACGTGCAGCAAAGAGTTTCCATCTGTCTGAAGCCTCACAGCACCCTGGGGAGAGTCCTTAGTGCTGCCTCTCCCACCCACTTTACAGATGGGGAAACTGAGGTGTCCTGTACTTAAGTAACCTGCGCTAAATGGTCAGTGAGCTATACAGACCCCAACCCCACAGGTTCTCCAGTTTGCCATTCTGAGAACTTGTCCTTCAAGGAAGCTGCTTTTAAAAAGTAGCCAAAAGGCAAAGGCAGCACACAGGCTTCCTGTTTGTCAGGTGCTTTTTAAAAAAATGATTATTAGATTAAAAACAAATCCTAAAACATTTTTACCACCTCTACATAACCTTGACTTTTATGACTAGTCACTGCCCGTAACCTGAGATACTGGCTTTCTGAAAACATCAGAGAAAAGAATCCTCCCAGCTCCAATCTTGATAGATGCTAGTGACACAGTGTGGAATAATGAACATTTCCACTGGTTCGCAGCCAGATCTCATAACGTCTAACTCTGGCCTGTGGAATGCTCTGAAGTTGAAAACTACATCCGCCCACCATTATCATATTAGGCCAATTAGGTCTGCTTATCATATCTGCTTTGTTTGAAAAATTGTTATGAGTCTCCTCCCTGTCTGCCGTGCATTTGATTCCCACATTTGATTCTTAAGTTTCTGATTTCATTGGCTTCTGTTTCTATTTGTTTCAGAGTCAAAGCTCTTCTCAGTTCTCTCCCTATCAATTTCTCCTGACACCATAATATCTAAATTACTTTCTTTTTCTCAAGGAAACAAAAAGAAAATGATGATAGCTACCAAATAGTGGCCATATGCAGTTCACATGCTTCATGTGCAGTACTCTAAGTGAAATGAGTCAGAAAGAAAGGAACAGACATAGAAGGGCTCATTTGTGGAATATAAAACAACATAATATGAGACTGACACCCAAGGACAGTAAACACAAGGGCCAGGAATATTGCTCCATAGTTGGAAGCCTGCCTCAAGAGCTGGGGGAGAAGGCAGCTGGAATAAAGAAGGGATTACTAAGTTAATGATGGTTGGAGGGATCATTCAGGATGGAAGATGTGTGCTGAAAGTAGATAAAGGACCAAATGTGATAGCCTCTCAGTATCTATATTGCAAACCATAATGCCCAAAAGTAAAGAGAGAGAGTAAGGGGGAAATTGTCTGCCATAGAGGTGTGTGTGTGTGTGTGTGTGTGTGGGGGGGGGGGGGTGATACTGGGGACATTGGTGGTGGAAAATATGCACTGGTGAAAGGATGGGTGTTCGATCATTGTATGACTGAAACACAAACATGAAATTTTTGAGACTGTATCTCACGGTGATTCAATAAAAGATGGAGGAGGAGGAAGAAGAGGAGAATAAGAGGAGGAGGAGGAGGAGAGGAAGAAGAGAAAGAGGAAAGAGAAGGAGGAGGAGGAAGAGGAGGAGGAGGAGGAGGAGGAGGAGGTAGAGGAGGAGGAGAAGAAGGAAGAAAGGAAGCAGTAGCAGCAGTTTCCAGAAATGGGGAAAAAAAGAATGTGCATTACTTAAAGATATGATTGAAAAATCTATGAAATGATTCTAGACTTTAACTTATTTTTAAAATTTTGCTTCACTTTTACAAGAGCCTTTCTTTTCCTTTCTCCTATAGTCAGTGGTTACCGCTCTGAGAAAGTCAACCCTGATGGGAGAACACCTCACTTCCCTAGATGTGTTCAGAAAGTGCATATTTAAGGAAAATTCAGTTACAAAACTGCATCTGTACCACACGTCAAATGCAACAGTGCACTCAAGAAACCACAACAGCACCTACTATGTGCAGGTGCACATCTAATAAAGCTGTCTTGAGCTATTAATAGTTGCAACAAAACTATCTGTGGGAGATGATGGCTCACCAAGTACTGAACCCTTACCCAAGTCCACACCCTTGCCGAAATATCATGCAATTAGAAAATTCAAAGTCAAATAGACTCCCAGAATGTAACTTCCAGCCTCAATACTTAGGTATCCTGACAAGCCTCCATAAGCTCAACTCACATTACTTCATTACTTCTGCTTCAGTTTCCCGAAAGTTTTTCTGCCATGATAGTCTTGTCTGTCTATCATTTCAGTCTCATATTCTGTTCTCGCCCTCAGAAGACACACACAGACAGACAGACCACATTCCAGTTACCTCTTCCAGAATACATTTCTATTTCTCAGAATTTGTTGTTAAAGGTAAACCATGAAGCCATATAAAATATTCCTTTTTTATATGCATCACCAGCAAACAATATAATTGTAAAAATAATATGATTAACTATTAAAATTCCTGACAAGGCAGAAAAACAAAAAGATGTTACTCATAATTTTATCTCCAAGAAAAGGTCAGTGCTAACAATATTAGATGACATTTTTCCAGGATTTTGTATAATATTTATGTGGGTTTTTGGTTTTGTTTTGTTTTGTTTTTTGTCACAAACTTATTTCGTTTGAAACCACATAGGTTTTGCTGCTTGTTTTTCAAACCATGCCATCGTCTTGAATCACTTACAATCAAGCTGACAGAGTTTCATTCTTGGAAGCTTCCCACCCTTCCGCCAGTGATCTTCCTCTGAGAGTCAGCAGGTCACAGCTCGTGCCTCCTCCCCAAGTCCTTTGAAGTTGTTTCCAAAGTAAAAGTCTGCTGTTACCAGCCCAGTCTCCAGTCTCTGGCTGCCCAGCCTTAACTCACAGCTGAAAGTTGTTCATGTTTAGGCAAAAGTTATATCAGCAGAGTTTCAAGTGGTTACTTCCCCATATAAACCCCTTTTCTTACCTCTAAATCAGTTCATTAGGTCTCGTGAGGAAAGTAAATCTTTCCTTGTATCCAGCTGGATTCTAGTGCTCTTTCCCATAGGGAGCCTGCTCATGGGCTTCCATATGGCCCCACAAGGAGCCTGCTCATAGAACCACAGCTCATGGGATGCTCATGACCATGACGCTGCCTAGCCACTGTCTCTAAATTACCAGGCAGGGCTCCTATACAGACACGGAACAGTATCAGATTCCCAGGTGATCTCATGGAACATAACATACCGTCTGCATTGAGATGCATCGTTTCCAGGGGTCCAATGAATGCATACCGCAAGCCCAGGCCATCAGACATGACAAGGTCAAGGTCATTTGGAGACACTATTCCTTCCTAAATGGAGAAAAGGGACAGACAGTTCATGAGTTCTCTGTGTTACTATCACTTTTTTCCTATGGTCTTTAGAGCAGAATCCTGAAATACTCAACGGAACACTGAGAATTTTATTTTTATTCAATTCTGCATGTCAATATATAGAGAAACATGAGCCCTGAAGAGAGTCTTTTAGGTCAAGTACCTAATCACTTTCTCCACTGCCAAAATTGACCTGAGCTGGAAACTTGTATCTTTGAACTCTTCAGCACTCTCCTGCTGCTGCATTCCTTTTTCTATGCTACAACCTACATTTGCAGCTTTGGTAAAAGGGATCAAGGTCAAGGCAAAGAGAAAGGGAGAAAGGGAGAAAGAAGACACGGGCAGAAGTGGGCCAGAGGGAATTTCTGCATTCAAATATATTTGCTTAAGATCTGGGGGAGCAAGTCTGAGCCACCCAAAGAGCTGGGAAGTTGCTCCCAGGCTGTGTCTGTCTGCAGGCCCAGCCTTGCTCAATTTTAATGAGTTTGTGTTAAAAAAAAAAAGGAATATTCTTTGATGAAATGCACACAGCTTAGAAAGGTGTGTTTGCACAGGAGAGGCCTAAGATTACACTGCAAGGCAAATTGTCAAGTGAGAGGTAAGTGGCCAGGCACTGAGCTCAGAGCTCAGCTCAGCTCCCATGTTCCTGGTTCATTTACTTATTCAGGGACACACACACACACTACCTGTGTGGTCCAGCACTCCACCACTAGTTTATTCTCCATCCCCAGATGCATGTACCTCAGACAACCCACCCGTTCACCAGGAAGGCAGTGGGGAAGGTGACCTGCCCTGAAGCCTTCCCTGGGGGCTGGCAGCAGCATGGAGAACTCTCCAGTCACCAAGTCACCTCTAAGACATCTTTTCCACAAGCAACTGGTGGTGAGGGAAGCATGGCTTCTGCAGAGCCTCTTCCCTAGCAACCTTGCTGCAGAGAACCCCTTCTTGCCCTCTCTGCCCCCACTGCCAGTGCACTGGGGCCCCAGGTCGCAGATGAGTCACTGGGTTGTGGAAATCTCAGCTCCACCCTAGCAAGGAAGCACAACTCTGACACCTGGGAACAGGCTTGAACAAGTGGTCCACCCTACAGTGCCTCCTTTGCTTGGGGCAAAGCTTTTGCCTCACCCTGAAAGGGCAGTTTGCTGTACTACCGATGGTGTCTATGCCATTTGGGGAGCGAAAGGCCTTCACCAGGGTCCTGTGGCCAGTGGGGGATTGGAGTGGTGGTATGTGTGGAGCTGGGGAGACTGAGCCCTCTTCTCTGATTAGGAACTGGGGGTGAGAGCTCCCCCTGCTGGCTCTCCTGCTCCCCAGGCCACGGCGACTTCTGGATCCCCATCCCAAAGACAGGGTGAGAGAAAGGCAATGAATGAAGCTCCCAGGAAAGAAAACATGGACCATCTCAGGCCTGAGAGTGAGTGGGGACCGGGATCCATGAACGTGAAAGGAGGCAGGTAGTGTGTGTAAGACAGTCTTTGTCTGGAAGGACCACACTGCATCTAACTCTGTGTGTGCATGTGGAGTGGGGTGGGGCGGCGCAGGAGGGGGGGTGAGTGCAGGAGTGAGGGAAATAAATACACAGACATAGAGTCATGCTGAGAGAGCACGCACACAGTTTAGAGGATAATTCCACCCCAGAACCATCAATATCTGCCTGCCTGCCTCAATCCTTTTTGTTCCACAGGCAAACCTCCAAGTCGGCAATACCCATGATCCCTAGGAATCACCGTCCACTTCTCATTCCTAAACAGGAGCCAGTTTTTTGACCAGTTTTTAAAACTCCACAAGTAATCACATTATCCATTCTTTTGGGACTTGCTTCTTTTACTCAACCACGTTTTTAGGATTTACTTCTGTGGTGCCAGAATCCCAATTACCCAACCACAGATCCATCATCCTGGCATTGTCTATCCAGGTTGATGCAGTTTATGGAGATTTCCAGTGGCCAACCACATTCCAACAGGTTTCCCAGGTGCAGAAGCAAGAGAGACTACTGAAGAGAGCACAGGTAAGCTAAGCTCCATCGGAGAGCGTGAAGCTGCTGTCCATTGGGCCCTGGCTCACTGTGTCCAGATGGATCTGCTAGATCCCAATGTTCCCATTCTGTAAGAAGCCTGCACAAATCCATGGATCTGGGACCATTCAGGTGACACCCTGCCAGAGCTCCCGTTGGTCTGAATCATCCTTCCAAGGTTTACTGGACTGCTGAGGAGAGCTAGTTTACTCATACGATTCACCCCAGATGCAGGAGAGATGCAAACAGGGAGGCGTAGCACATGGAGGAAAGGAAGGGGAAAAAAGGAATAATATATAGAAAACTGGCTGCTGACGCTCAGAGCACTCCTGTCTTGCTGGAGTGGCGCCTAATCTGTTGCCAAAGGCATCAGGTGCCTAGAGGCACTGGCTTTGGAATTCTGTACTCGCTGGGAACTGGAACACATGGCGAAGCAGCTAGGCAGAGGCCCTGCAGGCTCTGCCTCCCACTAGGGTCTAGGTCAACATTCCCAAAAGCCTTAAGTTTTCACTGCAGCATTTATTCTGTGGAGAGCACACACACAGAGATCATCCAGGCCTGACCTGCTATTTGCCTTGGCTCTTTTCTTCTTTCATTGTGTTTCATACTTTTGGAGCTGACTTCAAAAAGGAAAGATATCCCCACAGGGAGAGGCTCCAGAATAATTGCAGATTTGAAAGTCCCATCGAAGTCAGGGAGGGGTTCCACGTGGCATCATCAAGTAAGGGTGGAGAAACACTGGCCACCAACTGTCCGTGTCCCACTTAACTCATTCTCAGTCTCTATACATCAGCTGATCAGTTTAGGAAAGGAAATAATTGTCATGGTGTCTCTTCCTCAGTTCCTTATGCCCCACATAGATTTTCTAGAAGGTTTCTCCAAGCTCGAGTCTGAGAAGCCAAATCTAGAAACAAGAAATGTCCCGAGATGTCCTTTATTTCCTTTTTCTTCTTTTTGTTTTTCCTTCTTTGATTTTGGGCCACATCCAGCAGAGCTATTCCCTGACCCATGCTCAGCAGTCACTGCCAGAGATCCTGTGGGTGGTGGCTGAGGGGACACGCAGTGCCTGGGATCCTTGGCACAGAAAGCATGTGTATCAGTCCTGATCTATCAACCCAATACAACCCAAGTTGTTTTATTTTTCTGTTGAGCTCCATTCCACCCCAAGCTTTGGTAACATGTGTGACTTAGAGGCATAATATCATCAATAATAATGATTTTTAACAATCATAATGGTATAAAAAGCATAACCAAATGCTTATATAGAAAATGGATGATCTGGTGCATGAGTCAGCCCTGGGAACTGGACACTGAAATTGTGCCACAGTCTGTGGTTCAATGAACACATGGCAGCATAACTATCAGCATGTCCTTTACCGTTTCATGGTAAAATCCTCAATACACTAAAATCATCATCATCATCATCATCATCATCATCATCATCATCATCATCGCAAGATGTTAAATGATCCCCAAAACTCCCACAGAGAACTGAACACCAAAATGACTTGTTAGTTCAAATCCTGGTCTGAAAAAAAAATCTGTGGTCTAGCTAGAGTTGTGAGAATTCCTTGCAATAATGACCTGCACATCCAATTCATCAGTACCTGAGCCTCAGCACCATGAGACAACTCACTAGTGTGGATCCTTCAGAATGCCAGAAGTCAGTGCCCCGACTAGGAGGGGGGAGGGCAGAGAGGCAGAGAGGAGGGTACTGAGGAAGGCTCAGGTTGTTTTATTGTGGTGGCACAAACTTTAAGTGCTATTAAAGGTCCAGAGAGGAATATGTCAGAACTCTCAAGCAAGGCAGAAGCAGCAGGGGAGAGACACGTGAAGAGATTCTATTGCAAGATACCGGCGTTTGCCCACACAATGACTCATCTCAAGTGACGCCAACAGGGGGTTTGTGGGCAGCATCTCCTCTTTGTTCAGGAAACCCTCAATTCTGCTCTGGCCTTTCAACTCTGCAGATGACGCTGCTTACATTATTAAGACTTTCCTCCTCCTGGACTTAAAGTCAACTAATCACAGAGGCTAATCACACTCACAAAATAACCTTTTAGGCAACAAGTAAACTTGACCATGGGAGAAAACTACCTGAAAACACCCTTCGGTGAATTTTATTTATTTGTTCATTCATTCATTCATTTTGCAGTGGCAGTGGTCAAACCCAGTCTCATACACATAGACATGCACTATGCCACATCCCTGAACCATAGGAAAGGAATTTGAAAGCAGGGTAAGAGGGGACATTCAACTACCAAGTCAACTGCCAGGTCCAGAAGACACTCAGTACAAGACCCTCCCCGCACGGTGGTGTCTGGGAGCCACACTCTTTCAGGTGGGGCAAGAAGGCAGTCCTGAAGAGAAACTCTAAGCTAAGCAGGAAACAATGGCCACTATAGTGACTTCTAAAGAAATATAGAAAAAGGGGAACAATGGCAGAGCAGGGCTCTGCACAGAAAGGACACACTCATGCTGCCAGTCTCTGATGACTGAGTTACTGTTTCCTCGATTGATTTCCAGGTACCCATATTTATTTTCCTTCTTCCTAATCATCCTATTACCCTTTTTGTTGCTTTGCTGCATGCCTTCATTTCCGTTTGCCTTCCTTATTTTTCTTTATGCCATCTTTCCTTGTTGAATAATTAATTCCCAGCACTTGGGCTATTCTGGTCTATTTTGTTTTGGGCTGGAGCGATAGCACAGCGGTAGGGTGTTTGCCTTGCACGCAGCCAACATGGCCAACCCGAGTTCGATTCCTCCGCCCCTCTCGGAGAGCCTGGCAAGCTACCGAGAGTATCTCGCCCACACGCCAGAGCCTGGCAAGCTCCCCGTGATGTATTCGATATACCAAACACAGTAACAACAAAGTCTCCAATGGAGACGTTACTGGGCCCACTCGGAGCAAATCGACAAACAACGGGAGGGCCTACTTTTTACAATTATTGGTCATGAATTTTCA